TTTATTTTCAATTTCTGCTGAGTCACTGGAGAGTAACAATGCTTACAGGGAACAATTCTTCCCATCCTAAAGTAAACATCTGAAATAGAGTCAGATGAATTGTGCCCTAAAAATGCCAGTCTCCTGCATTGTCTATAAAGAGTGCTTTAGACCAGCTAGGTCAGAAATGGGCATGAACATCTCAGTGAGATTACTTCTGTCCAGACTATAAATTGTTGGGAGAACGACTGTCTCATCATGCTCATCAATGTCTCCTTAGGTCGTGTGTAAGCCAGTCTGTGCTGTTTATATGTAGTAACTGTGCATTGAGTTAAAATGACTGTGAGCTAAGACAAATACTGAAGTATATCATATGGAAATTCTACACACTACAGGCTGTCAAACAATGTGGTTTTCATTCATACTGATAATCATGGAGGAGTGCTGATATTGAAACAAACTTGCAGATGGTACTTATGTAAAAAGTGATGTGAAAAGTACATGGATAAAAGAAGTAAGTAGATAGGCGGGCAATACAGGGAAAGGAAGTAAACAAGGGGCACTTGGAAACTACAGATCAATAGGTGTGGGAGGAAATGCAACGCGATTCAGCCACAGAACAGAAAGCAACAGTACAGAAAGAGATGTGTGAAGATAACAAATGGGAAGCAATGTGGGACTTCTCAGAGTAGACTGGCAAGCAAAACAAGTTAACAGAAGCAAGATCAAGTCAGTAAGCAGTCAGGTGCATACCTTTTCTTTGTCTTTGAGGTTGCATTCAAACTTTAATTTTGGATGCAATGTAAAAAATATTTTGGGGATCGTGTAAGTGCCAAGAACCTTTTAGTGATTTCAAAAAAGTTGTAAGATCACTGAAGGTAACTGGGGGACAGAATGGAAGATGGAGAAAGTGAGTTGAGGTAGATGAAAACGTAGACAGCTTGGCACACTTACACCTGTTGGATACAGATGTCAGTAACTCAAGGCGATGTTGTTAACACCAAGCAAAGAGAGAAACTGAATTGGAGTGGTACTAAATACATGGGCTGGAACGTGAGACCTGTAGCCCAGGGAGCTCTGTTGGCAGCCCTGTTTTAGGGACTTCAGGAAAACAAGACTGACATGGCATTAGAAAGTAAATATAATAAAAAGTGAATATATCCTAGTATGTGGACTGGTGTAAATGTCCTTGTGGTCTATAAACTGCTGATACTCTTAAAAATGGTAGATCAATGGTTTTTTGTAAACTTAGATTGTATTAACTCTACAGCACTAGAGTTGTCCCCTGTGGAGGGGGGTTCACATCCTCTAAGGCATGGGATAGAAATGAACCCATTTATTCTCTTATCTTAATGAGGATTGTATTCATAGAAAGAAAACAGCTTCTTTTCCAAAAAAGGCTTTTTTTTTTTTTTTGACCCCCTCCTTTTTTAATGTGGTGCAATGCTACCTTCTGTTTCTGAACGGAACAGCAGGAGCAGATCATTCCAAGGGAGAATTTGGGGGCTGTGACAGCTAAATGGAGGGACCTACCTCCTTGAGTTCATGTAGATTGAGTGTGTAATCCTGCATGCCCTGGAATCTTGCCCAAATGTGGTTGGGATGGGAGCACTGGTTGTACCATACCATTGGTCTCTTTGGCTAGGGGTCTGTGGTGTTAGAGGTGATAAAGGAGAAAAAGTCTGGCACTGACCACGGTTTTTCCCCAAAGTACGGTTTGGGTGTCTGAAATCTGCAGTAAATCTGGAAGTCTCAGGAGCGCTCCCATTTCCACCAGGAGAGATAAGCCTCTGTTGCCCAGGGACACCTCCGTTTGTGGTAATCTCTACTCATTGTCTCAGCTCATCTTTCAGTTTGTTGACCCCAGACTTCAATGCAAAGATGTGCTGTAAATTAGCTGTTGCCAGTCAGAAACTAGCCTGTCGAGTCTTTCCTCCTTCAAAACATCATTGTCCAGCATGAGCAAAAACTTGAGTGGACCATCAGAAATTACAGTTATTTATGAGCAGCCTAATCTGAAATTCCAAGACATGGACTGGATGGAACAAGGCAGGTAAGGCAAGGAGCTAAACTAGATAGCCCAGCATGCCTTTTAGATTGATTCTGGAGGACATTGATCCACAGATCACAGAGAAATAAAACTCTACCACTTCTAAGTGCTCCATTAACTAATTTACAGGGAAGTCAATGATATTGCTTAAAATTTTGTCATTATTGAACCATACTTGCAGTGACGTGGCCATCTTTACTGTTATTAAGGAAATTATAAGAGAGTCCCAAATTTTGTTCTTGACAGTTTTTCTGTCCCACAAAAAGCAACTTCCTTTATTAATTTTAAGGTTAGCTGGGTAATGTGGCAGTGAAATGAAACACACTCTGGTTAAGGCTTGTACTTTCCATCAGAGCAAATCTTCCTAAGACATTGGTGGTACAGCTCTTGAAACTGGCTCCAGGCTTGTCTCTGGGTTCAGGAGAGAAGTCATTTTATTGTCTGTTTCTGGATGTGGTTTGTTATTGCATGCGTTTCTACCGTCCATCCTCTGATTTAGCTGGATAACGGTTACCTTGGAGTGGCAGGTGGGCTCTCCATCAGTGGAGGGAGGAGGTTGGCAGTGGAAAAGCTGACGAAAGCATTTGTAAAACTGAAACAACAAACAATTCTAGACATAGTTGCTAGGCAGGCTACAATTCAGAGCGTCTCTATAACAGCTTGGAGGCAAGGAAACATGATTTATTAAGCTCGTACTTTTTGCTCAAATAGGGATTAAATATTTTTTCCCTGTGAATCCATGTTTCTTGCTGCTTAAGACTAAAGTTCACTTAAATCTGTGGACTTTTCCTTTGAAATTGATGTGCTTAGCTTTTCTAAGACCATAGACTCTGTAGACTGTAAAGCTGTAGAACAATCTAAAACATTTTCAGAACCTTTCATTTATGATAAAAGAAGATTTAATCACAGAGGTAATTGGTTTTCAGTTACTTCACACATCAGGCAAGGAAAAAATCATTTTGATAATCTGATGATACACAGCAGGGAGAACATAAGGTTCTTTTCATTAGCAAGCCATTGAAATCTCCATGTTCCCAAACTGCAAACTAAACTTCAGAAAACAGCTTTGCTTAATTAACGAACCAAAATAATTTTTTATGTTAATTCATTTCACTTGTGAGAGCTACCCAAAACACCTTTGATGCTTTATGATTCCAAAGCTGTTGTACAGAAAAAAAGAACAATTAGATCAGTTCTCATTTGTAAGTGCAAAGTGAGAAGAATTATACAGCTGTCTCCTCTGAGAGTTGACAGTCATACTCAATGGTTAAGGATACCGGTAGTGCAACAAGTGCTTCAATAAATTTTCTATGTATTTTTAGTTTTTTAAGTGAAATCTTTAAAAAAAAATGGTGTCCAAGGCTTACTTCATTGTTTTCCTTTCATGTGGCTATATGAAACAGAAGAGACTTCCAGAAGCTGTGATTGATATGAAAGTATTGCAGTTTAGACAGTGCTGTTGATCAATATCTGATATTAGTCCCTCTGAAAATCTGCAGCTGCAACAGTAAGATTTCTCTCATTTCAAACCTATAAAGACCTTCTGTTAGTACACATTTATAATTGTGCTGTAGGAAAACAAAGTTTGCATGAGCCCACCTGTCTTCTTCCTGAATCTGTCCTGGTCTAGTTTTGATCTTCAGCATGGGATAAGGAGAGTGACAGCATCTTAGGACTGGACCTAAGGTCAAAGCAAACCTTTGCCTGGCTTTAAACAGGAATTTATTTTCCATATGGCTTTTCTTAGCCACTATTGACAGTGCTGATGATAGTCTGCCTTTGACAAGTGGCAGGAAAAAAATGCGTTGGCATTTTGTGGATTCCTCCTTGCTGAGCAGGAGGTGGTCAGGGGCTCTTCCTCGTGACAGCACTGCTCTAAGAAGGAATTCACTTTCATCTGCCTCTCTCCATGAGACTTTTCACAAAATTGCCAGAAGCTGTGGGCTTCTGTGCCACCACTACATGGCTGATGTTTCTTTATATGTTTCTTCTGCGTGTATTTAGGCTGCCTTCTTGGTCATGTCTTCCTGTCTAGAGAGAAGCAAGTGGATGGAAAAAGTGGAATTGGTTCAATTCCAGACTAAGAAAGATCAACACTGTAATAAGGTGAAGATACTTCAAGGAGTACATTGCTACCCTAATACTGCCAATGATTTGAATGAACCATCCAAAAGCTGTCAAAGGAAGAAACATGGGTGATACTGGCCCATTTCCTATTCTTGTTTCCCCTTGCCATGGTGTACAAAAAAGGAAAGGGAAATTAGTCAGATTCTTCATAGCCTTGAAGATTAGTATGTATGCAAATATTGGCAAGACGCAGTATTCAAAATCACAGAGGAAGATAGAATGGGCGTACTTGGAATTTTTTTAGATCTCCTGTATGTGGCAGGTCAGAGTTTAACTGTGGAAGTAGTAGAAGTATGAAGAAGCGCTCCTTAAAAACACCAGACAACTGCTTTGTGTGTATGTGTGTGTTCTGTATTCTGCAAGTAAATGTAAAGACCTGGTCTGTCTTGCTAAATAGCTTCAGAGATTGATAATATACAAGAAAACAACAAAGAATGATCAGTTGACTCAAAAAAATTAGCATGTTGCTGCATGAAGTCCTTGATTCTTGTGTGGGATGTTTTGTGGATAGTATAGGATAAATGGGAGGAGGTGGGAGAGCAGTCTTCTCGCTCGAGGCTGATGGTGGTATGCAAGCCCTTTGTAGGCTTTTTACTCTTTCCTTGTGATTGTTGTCCTGCCCTGTTGACTCTAGAGGGATTGCAATCTTTACGTATCAGGGACAAGCGAAAGCTGCTCTAATAAACAAAACTATTACTTCACTTAATGATTTTACAGAAGTCATACTTAAGGTGTGCAACAGCAAAGGAAAGCAGGAAAGAAAACCAGGTTGGGTGACTGCAGGAAAATTTCTGGGAAAAAAGGTGAAATCTGGGGTCACTTTTGTTTTCATTTTCTGCTCCAGGTATCCTCATCATGATGTCCATGTGTAACGAAGTGCACGTGTACGAATACATCCCTTCAGTCCGACAGACCGACCTATGCCACTACCATGAACTCTACTACGATGCAGCTTGTACCTTAGGGGCCTACCACCCACTGCTCTACGAGAAGCTGTTGGTGCAGAGGATGAACAAAGGTTTGCAGGATGATCTGTATCGGAAGGGGAAAGTCATTTTGCCTGGGTTCAAAGCTGTCAAGTGCCCTGAACGAAATGATTTCCCACACTTGTAGAAGAGAGTCCTTCAAAAACAATGTGCAATAAGGTACTACTGTCGTACTATAAACAAGAAGAGAATACTTGAAAAATGTATCTTAGACCAATCTAGTCTTGAGTCTATAAATTGTAATTAAGTAGCAGGCATGAGAAATACTTCTTTTCTGAGCCTGAGTATTTATTACTGCTTTGCAAATAGTTAAAGAAAACAAAAAGGCTTAGCTCATGAAAGGTGCAAAAGACATACTTAGGCAGAAATATAATGTATTATTGTGGGTGTGACTGTCAGAATTTGTCGGTGGTCTCTTATGCCACATATGCTAGACTGTAACATTTTTTTAATGAACTTATTTAACTGTTAAACCTGGCATTGTGAAACAGCCTCTATTGTTTGTGTACAGAGCGGCCAGTTGAACAATGCAGCATTTCTCATGGCTCCATGGGATTTTCACACTCTCCAAGAATGAAATAATCGCTACTTCAAGCTGTGCAGTCAGTGACTAGACTTCAATTCCCGTTCATACGCAGACTCAGTTACATACTTCCAGCTGCACAGGGGGCCTTACGGTAGCTATGAAGTCAGTGCAGATGGAGATGGCTGTACACACAGCTAAACCAGTTAAACTACTGGATGTATTTTCAATGCCAGACCCCCGTGCTCACACTGACTGCATAGGGCAAAGGGAAAAGAGAAATGTCTGATTTCTTTAGAGAGCGACAAACATATTCATAGCTTATTCAGGAAAAAACTCTGCCTGGGAGGCCTATCAAGAGGGTGTAAGTGAGATGGAAATGATGCCTTCCCCTGGTCTGCACAGATAAAGGATATGCAGAGAACGCCAAGAGAGGCTGGGCAGCACTCACACATCACACTGAAAGCAAGCAGCTTTCTGCAGCAAAGATAGCATTCAGGATTACAGACATCATTTGTTAGGTATTTCACTGGGATCCAAATCAAACTCACTTGTTCACAAGTTACTGCTGTTAAGAAAATATAGGGAGTTTTCTGACAAAAGAACAGGGTATCAGCATTTTTTATTTAACATTTGAAAGACCCCAGAGAAGCTGTAATGCCAGCAAAAACCCTGACTACAGATTGCATATGGAGATAGTTTGATATTTTCCTTCATAACACACAATGAGAATATTCTCTAAGGCACTTCTAAAAATCTGCCTGGTTACTAATATATTTAAAGCGTTATTTTTCATGGCAAGACTTGATTTTCAGATTTTCCGAGTGGCAGGAGGTTAATGTTTTGGGTTGTGGGTTTTTTTCACATAACTCTACCCCTTCTCTTAGGGTAACTTTAGCAGGAACATTACATACACAAACGTACAGCTATATTGTACTCGTGTCCATTCGGTAGAAAGGCAGACAGCTCAAAGAGGCACTGAAAAGAATAGCTGAGTGATTGTGGTGGAAAGTATTTTTGTGTTTTATCTTAAGCAAAAGAAAGGCAATTGAAGAGTGTATACAATATTAATGACTATCTCCTCTTCAATAGTAATGTAAATATAATCGAAGAATCCTTTTTCTCTCACTCTGCTTTTTGGGTCTGATGAGTTTCCTTCCTCAAAAGTGAATACGTATCTTACATAGGATTTAGCCGCCTTTTCTCATGTAGTCTCTTAATTTGGGCTTTATGGTCCTCTTAAGATTCCTTTTGTTGACAGAAAGTATGTCCAGATGATCTAAAAGACATACCTGTGTCTTGTGTGGATAGTTATGTCCGTAAATCATTTTGGTACATGTCAAAATGAATAGGTTTTACTCATATTAGCCTTAGACTCTGGATATATGACACACTGATTTCTTTTCAATGTTATGTATGGTGGCAACTCGTATTCTTAAAGTTAATAACACTGTTATTTAATCTTGTGGAGAACAGATAACCTACATAGAACTGATCTATTTTTCCATATGTTTAGTACCCTGTTTGCAAAACATATGAAGTTTGAACAGTGCAATCAAACATGTCTGTCTTTCCTGTATGCTGGGTTAGCTAGCACATGTTTGTAAAGGATTAGCTTTCTAGGACTAGTGAATATGCTACTTTTCCATAAGCTGGAAATTCTCACTTCCAGGTTCTGAAAAGAAAAAAAAAGCATATCACTTTGACTGGTCTGCAACCACTAACCTTTACCTTCGATTTTCACGGAGAAGAAAAATACTAACTGCATTACTCAACTACCCACAGCAGGATTATGTTGTATTATTCCCTCAGTAATTTGTCAGAATAATCAACACAGCTCTTGTACAGAACAAGGCAAATGATAAAGTTTCATATAACAAGTGCTAAGCATGTCTACCTAATACATCATTTAAATAACTATGCAGAACCAGGTCTGAGATGTTGTGAAATGAACTGTATATTTTTGATTTACTGGACTGTGTGCATTCAAGCCCTCCCAGCAGAAATATTTTGTTTGCTGTATCCTGATTTGTATGGCAGTCAGTGCTCCTTCCACAAGTGCAAATGTGGGTGCTGTAGCACCATCACCTCAGAAGATGCCACAGAGCTGTGCTTGCTCATAGAGGAGGAAGACCAACTCATGATGCCCAGGCATCCCTGGCGTGGATTCCCAACTGTGATATTTCACTGGTCTTCCTGCTCAAACACCTTGTGGCTGCTTAAAGAGATTTACTCCCTTACCTTGTCTTGTCCTTCTTCAGTTTTTGGCACAAGTGCAAGCGTGCCTGATCTGCTAAGTGAGGGCTCACCTCCACTTGCTGCAAGAGGGGAAGGAGCAGAAACAAAGGGTGAACTTAAAAGACCTGCAGAGGTGTTCCCCTCACCACTGCTTATACTCTCCGTGGCATTGGCATTGCTGGCTTTTATAAAAGCCCACCAAGTATTTTTGCATTTATGGGCATTTCCCCATTTCTCATGACGGCAGAGGGATCTTTATAAAGAATCACATTCAGTAAATTTAAAGTGGTGAGTGTGTAGTAACACTGAACCATGTATCTTTTAATAATAACGTGTGAGAGTGATGGTTTTAGATACATACATTAAATGCAGACAATGTGAAAGGAAATGCATTTTCCCCACCCAGATTGTGGGGGTTTTGGGGAAAAAGAGACAGGCATGGCTTCGTAGCTCTCCCATGTGGCTGTCACACACCAACAGAGTGGAAAGGCACCATAGACAAGAGAGGTTTGCACAAACCAGGCTCTTGAGGTGCATCATCAGCCAAGCAAATGCCTCTGCTAGTGGACCCCTGAGCTCCCTTCACACTTGTTGCAATAATGCAGGTTTTAAATTTCTGGAGTTTTACTGACAAGGAGGAGTAAGTTGCCTTCAAAAGCTATCAAGCCTCATTTCTGTGCCCTGGTGCTGTGGACAACAGTTGCACTTAGAAACACAGCAGCAGATTAAGGAAACGTGCCGAGTTTATGCTGAATTTCATTATGCTCTTTTTTCCACTGTGAATTCTGTAGCTTTTCTGACTTCCGGTGCTGTATCATTTTATGCATTCAGCCTTTAAATGGTTAAATCAAGGTATTCTTCTGTTTATTCAAGGAAAAAATATGAAAGATTTTGCATCATTTTGAGCCAAAATCTTTTTCTAGAAAAAAATATTAATTGGTCCATTCCTTTATAGTTCTAAAGGTTACCTGAGCATAAACTCCCAGCTCAGTCAGTCATTCCTGGGATTAAACTACTACATCTTCTTTTTTTACCTTGCTATGGAGTTTTGTGCTGTTGAAACTCTGGTGAAGTCAGTGAAATTACCATGATATAAGAAGTATCTACCTTTGGAGAGAGAGAGGGGTGATTTACACACTCTAATCTACGCTCTCTCTGTACAAACTTAGCTAAACCACTGCATGTCTTTGGTCAGGACACTTTCTTTGGTGAAAATATCCAAATTCTGAACTTGTTGCTGTAAATCTCTTGCCAAAGTCAGGAAAACCAAGACAGTTTTTTTCTTAAATGAAGACAAGTATCACCATTCAATGGTTGCACAGACTGAACACAGTCATTTTAGAGATAGAGTGAATTAAAGAGGAGTTCAAATCACATGTATACCAATCCAATCCATAGTGGGGTTTTTCTTTTTCATTTCCTCCTTCTTCAGCAGTTTTTAAGGATGGAAAATGCCATTTGGACAGTGATAGAGGTGTACCATGAAAATAATACTAAATGCATTGACTGCAAAAATAAATAGCTACTATTTTTCCCTTCATGCTTTCTGAAGTTGATGCATATTGAATAAATTAAATTGTTTTTTGAAGTAGGTAATTCATAAGACTGTCATTAGAAAGCATCTGAATATTTTCTGGGAGCTATCCTCTCACACACAAGGAGGTTACCTGATTTAACTGTTTGAAATTTAAAGTAGCCCATGTCTGGGCGTACCTGCATCATTGAATGAATTTTGACACTGCAAATTTCTTCTCTCTGGCTTAGTGATCAGATTCAGAGTTTTGTTCTTGAAATAAGAGTTGTGTGTAAAAGCCTTACATTTATTCATATCATCTCATCACTCTTATAATAAGTAGTCATTGAACTATTCAAATATAGACTGTGTACTTTTTTAATAGCTTTGAGAATTATTTTGTATGATGATTTTTTTAAATGAATGTGTACTCTAATAACAAAGCTTAAGATTTTACAGGAGTCACATTTTTAAGCAGTGTTTGTATACATTTTAACACTTTTTATATTTTCTATTATGATTTTGTATATTTTTATGTATGCACAGTGTACAGATTTTTTTCCTGTAAATAAAACATTTGTTTTCATTTGTTTAGGAGTGCTGGTCTTTTCATACTACCTTGAGTGAATGACAATGAACTGCAGATGGAACAAAACAGGGAAGGTGCCTGTTGGTTCTGCCCACAATTATGAGATCTCAAATGGAAACGGGCAGATAGGCTGACAAGTAGCTTTCACAGTAAACTATGGAAAAGAGGCAAAAATTATAAAGCAAGTTTTATTCCAAAAAGAACATGTCTACCTGAGCAGGTGCTCTAGGGTTCCACTGGGAGAATATACCATACTGCTCTATG